GACCACGAACGTTCCTTATGTCGGTAGCTCAACAATCTACAGAGGATCGACATTGTTCCGCGTATTCAAATCGTCCAATCAGATATTCTACGCAACTCAGTCGATACATACTGCCTCTACCACGAACACGTGCAAGTTACGTGTGTGTTTCAGCTTGTTTTGAACTATCGGAAAACCAAACGCTCGTGTTTTGAGGTTTATAATGAAAGGCCATTCACACGTGCGGATGGTGTCTGGCCTATCGTCATGATAAAAGCGGTGACTCTTGTTCATTCGAAGAAACACATTCAAATGGTAGGAATGCAGTCTTGCAAGGCGGCTTTCTGCTGAAAGTGAAACGGTTGTGATTTAGGTTTTCGGCCTTTCCTGGGCGCAGCCATGCGGATGGTGTCACACGCACTCGCGCAGAGCACAGGTCTGCCAGCAGCTACCATTGCGCATGCGCCGAAATCGAGCGCACATCACGAAAGCAAAGAGTTTCGTCATGTAGTGATACCTGCCAAGCTCCGATGGTGTTCTCTGACGGTGCGCGCATATAATATATTGAACAAACGCCGGGCGATGCGTGCTATCAATAGTTGGTTCTCCGAGAAAGGTACTGCTCCGTGAACTGAAAGAAGGCTCTGGAATCATATCCCCGCTCCCCTCCTCCACGCCGCCACCGTGCCCATGCCCGTTCCGTGACATTTGGAAGTATTAACGTGCCCCAGAATAAGACCATGTTCAGATGCCGAAAACCGCTCCAGGGCTAAGCCACTACACCAACACCCCACTCTCCTCGGAGCGGTCGCCCTCTGGAGTACATATCCAATAATCCGCGATCGCATCAGCCTCGGCACCGGGATTTGGTGTTAACTAAGCGCTGTGCCGGATCACCTGCCATTCAGCAAATCAATGCACGTGCTTCTTGTTTTTCTCAGGAATCTACGACGAGTTCCAGCCACAACCTCGTCCACGTGGCGGTACGGGAGCCAGGAACAGTCAACGTGTTGGGGGACGAGTGGACGAGTTTGCTCCGGCAGGTGCAGTGTTGTCTTTGCACGGTGTGACAGCGAAGCTGTTTTTGATTATATGTGCATGGTCCGGTAGCGTCGTGTGAGCGTTTTGCCGTGGGAAAATGCACGAATGAAGAGCCGCGTTTCTGGTGACGAAACCGTTGTGATTTCCTCTTGTTTGTTCGGGATTTTCTGGGCGCAATCCCGGGCCCACCCTCGCGCCCAGCACAGTGTGTCAGCGGCCACCATTGCGCATGCGCCAGAGTGAGCGCATCTCACGAAATCAAGGAGTTTCGTCGGATCGCACAACGTGTCCTGATACCTGTCAAGCTGCGGTTGTGTTCTCTGACGGTGCACGCATGCAACATATCGCGCAAACGCCGCGCGATACGGGCTAGTTGTTGCGCCGAGAGGAGGAGTACCACCGCTCCGTGAACACAAGACTCTGGAACCACCGCCCCGCTCCCCTCCTTGACTCCGCCACCGTGCCCCTGCCCGTTCTGCGGAAATTCGAAGCAAACGTGTCCGAGACGGCCGTGTTCGTATTCTGAACCTGTTTGACGTGCCAGCCGCGTCACACCGGAGGAATGCCACACAGAACAGGAGATTTGTTTCGCCCCAACATTTCCGGGGCTAAACCAACACCCAACTCTCCGCGGAGCGGGATTTCTCTCTACTGTAGTACGTGGCCAAAAATCCGCGATCACATCAGCCTCGGCACCGTGATTCAGTGCTGATTGCGCGCTTGGTCAGACCACCTGCGATTCAGCAAATCAATGAATTGCTTTTTGTTTTTCCTGGAAATCACGAAGCGTTCCAGCCACAACCTCGTGCACGTGGCGGCAAGGAATCCTTTTCCCGGGCCAACTGCAAGAGGAGGAACAGCCAATGTAATGGACTAGATCTGGACCGATATGCTCCGACAGGTGTCTTCAATACTGCACCTTTCGGAAAATATTGGTCCACTCGTCCCCCAACACGTTGACTGTTCCTCCTCTTCCTTCCACTTGGCTCGGGAAAAGGATTCCGTACCGCCACGTGCACGAGGATGTGGTTGGAGCGCTTCGCTCGGTGATTTGCAAAATCGCAGGTGATACGACAAAGCGCTTAGTTAACATCAAACCCCGGTGCCGAGGCTAATGCGATCGCGTATTGGCCATGTAATTCAGAGGAGGACCGCTCCGAGGAGAGTTGGGTGTTGGTTTAGCCCTGGAGCGGGTTTCAGAATCTGAACACGGTCATCTGGGGCATGTTTGTAATTGTTAATTCCACGGAAAGAGCATGGGAGCAGGTTGTCCGCGAATCTGTTTTGATCATTTTAGCAAGGTCCGGTTCCATCGCGTGAAGTTTTCGCCGTGGGGATCTCCAAGCTTATGCATGCGAGGGAACCTCTTGATCTCTCCATACCCCCTCTGCACACTCCCTCTGTCCCAGCTGCACCACTCAGTGAAAACGCCAAGTAGCCTGGGGCATAGGTCCTACGTTGTGTAGCCCCCCCGTGATTGTTCAACCGGGTTGTAAAGCAGAGGGTATCGTCACCTCCCTGTGCAACCACCTGCCCTCTTCGTAGGCACGCCTTCGCAAGTAACCGTCGTTTGGGTGAGACATTTGTTGACCGAACCCCCCGCCCTTCCCTGCTTTCCCCCCCGTTGGTGCACAAACACAGGCACTGTTGGAGCAGCCCTTCGAGTATTGCCGGAGGTGTCCGAATCGCCGAGGGGTGAGCTTTTTCCCGTTGTGAACACGCCTCTGTCTTGAGCTTTGCATCATGCGATCAGGCGTACGTATAATTGAGGAATGGGCATCACCTGTTCCGCGCAGCGCATGAGATATCGCCATGAAACCGGAGTGTGCCTTCGTTGAAACGGAGCAGCTCAAGAATGGACGTTTTCTGCGTTTGTTTTCAGAAATAGCCCGCGGTGTGATGCGAGCAGGGGCGACTCTTTGTGGATCCTAGCTGACCGCACAACCGCTCGAATCCTCGAGAAAGTACAGCAGCATGACTGTAGCCCGCAGCAGGCTGTTGTCGCGGCCACTATCTCGTGCCGGGACAACATCGGGCCTCTTTCTCGCTGTGGAGGCGTTGTTAGCGACAGCATTGAGTTAACCTCCGCCGAGCTTAGACCTAATAAGTCAACCCGACGGTAGCTTGATGATGCACCCGCGGGGAAGATGTCGGTGTGGGCTTGGTGTGTACCATGGATACCGTAGTTTCATTTCTCCTTGAGAAGGAGATACCTGCTCACTCCGCCGCCGGCGACGTGTTTGCACCCTCCTATCTTCCAGCGGAAAAGTGTTTCATTCGTCACGTGCCACCCCCCACCCCAATCTTGCGAGTTCTTATGCCACGCCTGGTATTGTGGGGAACTCGCGTTGGTCTTCTGCCGCACCGGTTACCGCGTAGCGTCCGAAGAGCGTCGGTGCTCTCGACCCGCAATCGCTAGCCTCAATTGCCGTTTACGCTCGTTTCCAATACTCGGCAGTCACAAACCCCAACTAAGCACGATATGACATCACAAAAGATGTACAACTTCCTGGAAGAACGCTACTGACATACGTCACGCTATGATTGGTGTTTTGGGGATTACCTGTGTCCGCTGCCTGGAACTACTTGCCTATAGTTACCGCGATATTGGGGATGTTTAGGAAGCTTCCCTGCACTAGGTGCTCGGCACCCACTCGTTCTAATCAGTTCGTATTTACAGAGAAAAAAAAAACTCCACTCCACTCTCTTCTCTCTTCTCTTTTCTCTCTCCTCGCCATGTGTGTCTCGTGAGATGTTTCAACATCCGATACCCCCTTCCACAAACGGTTTCTTTTTGGCGCTCACACTTCAGTTGCCTGTCCATCTAATTATTTCTCACAAAAAAGTACGTCGAAAATAGCATTCCGAATAACCGACAGCCCCGGGTTTCCATATGGCTAGCTGTAGACGTCACACTGCCTCCGAGGGGTGAGCTTTTTCCCGTTGTGAACACGCCTCTGTCTTGAGCTTTGCATCATGCGATCAGGCGTACGTATAATTGAGGAATGGGCATCACCTGTTCCGCGCAGCGCATGAGATGTCGCCATGAAATCGGGGTGGGAAAAATGTGCTTCTATTGAATTGGAGCAAACTCAAGAATGGACGTTTTCTGCGTTCGTTTACAGAAATAGCTCGCGGTGTGATGCGAGCAGGGGCAACTCTTTGTGGATCCTAGCTGACCGCACAACCGCTCGACTCCTCGAGAAAGTACAGCAGCATGACTGTAGCCCGCAGCACGCTGTTGTCGTGGCCACTATCTCGTGCCGGGACAACATCGGGCCTCTTTCTCGCTGTGGAGGCGTTGTTAGCGACAGCATTGAGTCTTGATAGGGCGGACGATAACCTCCGCCCAGCTTAGACCAAATAAGTCAACCCGACGGTAGCTTGATGATGCACCCGAGGGGACGATGTCGGTGTGGGCTTGCCGTGTACTATGGATACCGTAGTTTCATTTCTCCTTGAGAAGGAGATTCCTGCTCACTCCGGCGCCGGCGATGTGTTTGCACCCCCCTATCTTCCAGCGGAAAAGTGTTTCATTCGTCACGTGCCACCCACCCCAATCTTGCGAGTTATTTTGCCACGCCTGGTATTGTGGGGAACTCGCGCTGGTCTTGTGCCGCACCGGTTCCCGCGTAGCGTCCGAAGAGCGTCGGTGCTCTCGACCCGCAATCGCTAGCCTCAATTGCCGTTTACGCTCATTTCCAATACTCGGCAGTCACAAACCCCAACTAAGCACGATATGACATCACAGAAGATGTACAACTTCCTGGAAGAACGCTACTGACATACGTCACGCTATGATTGGTGTTTTGGGGATTATCTGTGTCCGCTGCCTGGACCTAATTGCCTATAGTTACCGCGATATTGGGGATGTTTAGGAAGCTTCCCTGCACTATGTGCTCGGCACCCACTCGTTCTATTCAGTTCGTACTTACAGAGAAAAAAGATTTTCCACTCCTCTCTCTTCTCTCCGCTCTTCTCTCTCTCCTCGCCATGTGTGTCTCGTGAGATATTTCAACATCCGATGCCCCCTTCCAGAAACGGTTCTTTTTGGCGCTCACACTTCGTTGCCTGTCTGTCCATCGAATTCTTTCTCTCACAAAAAAATACGTCGAAATAGCATTCCGAATAACCGACAGCCCCGGGTTTCCATATGGCTAGCTGTAGACGTCACACTGCCTACGAAGGCCATCCTCCACTCTGCTGCACGTGCTCGTGCAACTGCAGAAAGGGGGCCCGTATAAAAAAAAGGGTTGGGGTGACAGTTACCACTGCCTTGTGGTGCTCAGACACTTCCATACGGAGCATGTTTGTTGTCGTTGTGTCTGTCTAGAAGCAGTTACCTGGTGCATACGGTTGCTACACACCCCTTTGCAACGCTCTTGGCTGCGCCTGACACTCGGTGTTAGCCGACCCCTTGATGGTGCCCCGAAAGTCGATGGATCCCGTCGTCGAGCTTATACGCTACTATACAGACTAATCATGATCCTGACGAATTTCGCCCCCGTGCTCTTGCTGGGACCATGTTTTGGGAACCTGTCTTTCTGTCGTCAGGACTCTCTTCAGAACACGACAGCGCAGTACCCAATGGGCTGCCCTGCGAACCTGATCATCGCTTTGCACCAGGGGCATGCCAGGTGTGTGTGTGTGTGTGTGTGTGTGTGTGTCCCGAGCGTGGGGGCGGGTTTGGTTCGTTGCCGTCGCCGCACGTGAGGAAAGCTGCGGAGCGATGCTTCAAAAAGCATGTCAACAATGCTGACTCCGCCCACTAAACAAGTCGAGAGAGAGAATATCAGTCGTCACAAAAGGTGTGATCACTTACTCGAGATTCTATGCGGAGACGGAGGTGTTGACAGCGTTTGGGTTCCTTGATTGTTTTCATCTAGCTCGGGACACAAACAAACCCTGTGTCTCGCGCTAAACAGAAAGAGAGAATGAGCGCCGCCTCCAACAATGGGTGTGTGCTTAGGGCGACAGGTGTGCGCTTGGATTCTTGATTTGTCCAACGTGGGTGAAGGTATCCAAGGTGTGCGCTGCGTTTGNATGGATCCCGTCGTCGAGCTTATACGCTACTATACAGACTAATCATGATCCTGACGAATTTCGCCCCCGTGCTCTTGCTGGGACCATGTTTTGGGAACCTGTCTTTCTGTCGTCAGGACTCTCTTCAGAACACGACAGCGCAGTACCCAATGGGCTGCCCTGCGAACCTGATCATCGCTTTGCACCAGGGGCATGCCAGGTGTGTGTGTGTGTGTGTGTGTGTGTGTGTCCCGAGCGTGGGGGCGGGTTTGGTTCGTTGCCGTCGCCGCACGTGAGGAAAGCTGCGGAGCGATGCTTCAAAAAGCATGTCAACAATGCTGACTCCGCCCACTAAACAAGTCGAGAGAGAGAATATCAGTCGTCACAAAAGGTGTGATCACTTACTCGAGATTCTATGCGGAGACGGAGGTGTTGACAGCGTTTGGGTTCCTTGATTGTTTTCATCTAGCTCGGGACACAAACAAACCCTGTGTCTCGCGCTAAACAGAAAGAGAGAATGAGCGCCGCCTCCAACAATGGGTGTGTGCTTAGGGCGACAGGTGTGCGCTTGGATTCTTGATTTGTCCAACGTGGGTGAAGGTATCCAAGGTGTGCGCTGCGTTTGACACGTGTCCCTTGAGCACGTAGGCGTCATCGCTAATTCCGGCGGCGTACAGTACTTCTCCTCGCTTGCATCCTCGAAGACCGGGCACCAAAGTCTCCGTATCGAGAGCGAGACATCAAAAAAATATATGTGTGTCCCGATTTTGGCGGACCAAATCATGGAACGGGACCGCTGTCATCGTTCTACGGCCTCTTCATGGAATCTCAAGCAAATCTATCTACAAGTAGGGGGTGCGCTCGTTGTCCATGGAACGTCTTTCGCGGAAAAATTGATCGTATTTAGGCGAACCTTTGTATTGTGTGTTCCCACCCCAGAGAGAACCGGGTGGGAAAAATCCAAAGCTGTGCAGCCTGGTTCGCTCTGTCGGACCACTAGTCACGCCTCGTGGTCGAGAACAAAAGCATCGTTCCTGTTCCGCCCGACTCGCTTCCGGAGTGTTTTTCCGACGCGCCGCTTTGGCGACGAGCCGCCCTCATGCCGAAGTAAAATTTCGCGTAAAATGCGACGACAGTATTTCCTGCATGCCTGGATTAATCCCCATGGCGCCGTAGCTTGGCAAGGTCAAGGCCTTTCTATCTGGGAGTCTAGTGACGTGGAAACTAACTCCCGTTTATCCCTGTCTATTTTACCTCTCACCCCGCAGCACGTCAACGATCCCGTCCAGTCTGGACATGGCCGTGTTCATCGAGACAAGCGGTGAGTCCAAACGTATTGAACTGGTTTGAGTAGTACGCCGTATGTATGGTAGTACGGACAGGTCGAGAGGTTATTCGATATATTCCCATGGTTGTACCGTGGGCTTGTTAGACTTGCACCTGAGGGAAGGAACTATGGAACCCTCCTCGCGTTTCCGGTGTGAAGGCACGTGCCGCAGAGGAACCCTCTCGTTGAGTTCTGGATGGGGGCTCCTCAGTACAGGACGCGAACCCGCAGGGCACGCGGACATCTCGAGCGATAACGACAATAGCGTTGCTGAGAACGAAGCCACGCAAGGAAATCAAGTAATATTGAACGCAGGCAGTGCTGCACGAAGCGACAATCAACACCTCTGCACTTTGCCCTACCCGTAGCAACAATCGACACCACGCCACAAAGCGTAGCAGCAAGCGAACGTTTTTCTTTTTTTCAGACACTGCTGTGATCGAGGAAAGGGCCAGTTGGTCGACTTCGGGTCTGCGAACGAGAAACTGTGCGTCTTGAAGAGAAGAACATGGTGCTTTCTCGTCACAATGAAGGGCAGTCACAAGCAATTCACAGCACCATCGTGGCTCAATACGAGACAGTGTGTAGGACATACTTAGACCTCGGTCTGGTGTTGGTTAGGGACCATGCAACTCACAGACAGATACACGTGGTTCCGAGCCGCCGCTTGGTGATTGCTTCCTCTGTAGGCAGGTGTCGGAAGACGCACGTCGCTATAGGCCAATTGTAGATTCGACAGCGAGGGGGAGTAGCACACTTGGGAAGCAGTGCGGAACACAAAGCACAAGGAATATCCTGGTTGATGCCCTTGCCCAGTGAATGATATGTCATCTTGGCGATCATCATACATTTGGTTGCCGTGCAGCCTATCCCGGTGCTACATAATTCGAAAATATAGACTTGCTTCCCTAGGCTGAATGTAACACGACTGCGCGCCCTTGCTTTACGGCGACGTGTACCAGTCGAGTACAGAGGGAACCGTCTTGTCGCATGTGTTTGACTGCGATTCCGAGGTGGACAACAGTGGTGGCGCTCTATTGTGGTCGGCTGTGGCAAAAGACACAACGAGAACATCCAATGGTGTCCGAATGGCAAGAGTATTCGACGTACTTGTAGCTGGACCTACTAGTAAAGTTGTGTGTTTGTGAATATAAATGTATGTCCGGGTAGAGGATAGGAGAACATAACAAGGCCTCCCCAGGAACCGAAGGAAATAAAGGTGGAGCACAACCGACCTTGGTTGAACTTTAGAAGCCGCGAACAGGGCTGTACCCGTGATTATCTCACGATGAAAGGATTTTTGTCGAGATGGTGTTGATTTTTGTTCTCAACGGGACGCATGATAAACGGAACATTACGATTTCATTGGCAAAGCAAAGCAAAGACCCAGGCCTTAGTCCGCCCCCAATTTCACTCGTCTGTATGCGCCTACTTTGTGCAGATCCTCCGGTCGTGTTATGGTATGATCTGGTCGGTGTCATCCACGGACGATCTGCTACTTCTGGGAATGCTGTCGCCTACACGCGTGGGCCAGGCGGGACGTGGACTGGCTACTACAACAACGGCAGGGTCGGCGAAAACCTTCCGACTATGACGTACTCACCGGACGGGCGGCCTTGCTGCGTTACGCCAAGCGCGGTTAGACCTTGGGGTCGCGTCGTCGTCTTCGATGGACTGCGACAATTGCGTGTCACCTGTTTCTTTGCGGTACAAGAAAAACCGGAACCGGTGTTTTTGTGTTTTTCGAGCAGGCTGGGTTGCGCTCGAAGCAAGTGGCGGTCTCGTCCTTTCGTGTGCTTTGTGTATTTCGGTGTATGAATCGAAACCACTGCTGGCAATGCGGCCGGCACAACCGTGCGGCTAGCATACTCAGCTGGTGACACTTCCAACATCACGACGTGTTTCTACTCTGCACGGTGCTCGCTGGCATCGCCGCCAGTCAGGCCATGTCACCGGGCGGGTGGTGCTACACGCACGACCAACCTTGTGTCGAGGTCAAGCTCGTTTCGTAAGAATGACAAGACAGGCCTACCAACGCGGCCTCCAACAAGCCACCACGTGGAATACCCATCTTTGAGTCACCGTTGTGTGTATGCACGCAGCAGGGCGCGCAAGCCAGAGGCTGCTCATGGCAAAACTTGAAAAAGATTGGGCACTCTATTTAAACAGCACTTTGTTGTGTACTCTTTGTGTGTTCCCGCTGTCCCTCGTTTCTAACACGAAAGGCCGAAAGCTTCATGTATGCACCCATAGATTGTTCCACCTCGCCAGCATGACCAAGTATGCCACATGCACACCATCACGTATTCGATTAGGTTCGATTCGGTTTGCGATTATATCGTTATTTTGTCACGTCATGTAACAACGACAACACGAGGAAACAAAATACGCCTGCACTACATTTCGCGATCTCCCCGCTACAATGAACCTCGACACGAAACATTTGATCCACAATACAATTCAACCCGTACCTTCTGATTACAACTGACGGCGGCGACTACTTGGTTAGTCCTTCCCCATACAAAAGAGCACAAAGTCCACTGAGCAAGTAATGGTCCCCTACTCGTGCCTGCCCAAAGCGCACGTTTCACGACTCACAACACGCGCCGTATACGTACGCAACACACGTATACTACACACTGGATGGACCAATGTCTTGGCTCGATGTAGGGCCCTCCAACACCGAGTGCCGTGTCTTCATGAAGCTCCCGACGAGATGTCTACTACTCATAGTGCCTACCGCGTGGAGATTCAAACCCACACGACAATAACGTTCCAGGGGGTGCCTTCCACCCCACGTGGCATCGTGACGGCAACAGAGGGTTACAAACAGAGCGCGCTCCACCAACGAGAACCGAATCCCTCACAGACATGCACGAAACATATGTATCAAGTCAAAGACGCGTCTCTACGACAGGGAAACACATAGTCTAAGCCCATCGTAAAACGCTTGGGGCAGACAGATGGCCGCATCCTCGTGTCTCTGAAGACGACCACCCAAACGGGCGCGACACCATGATTCTGTTCGCCAAATTCCCATATGGAATATCCCCCCTGTGTCCACAAAGCGTGATTAGCGCACATCGTCTCTCGCAGGCAGTCGCTCTCACGAAACACGTGCGCCACGGTCGCTGCATGAGATATCCGTAATATATATACCCTCTTCTCGAACACCTCATCATGACGCACCGCTTTGGTTAGTACTCTTTTCGTGTTACGTTACGACAGTTTTCGTGCCCAACAGCATCCCCGCATCGTTTCCTGTATTGGAGCAACAGCAGCCGTACAATAGCTCCTTGAGCTCTNCCCTGGCTTGCCCGGGCTTTTTCTCCCGGGTCTTCCACTGAGCCCCGTCGCCCCTCAGTCGACCGGAGGCTTCCAGAGCGCGGCGTGAGGGAGCGCGCGGCCTTCGACCGCCACCGCTGGCCTCCGCCTCCGTTTTTGCCGCCTCCCTCGCCTGCCTCAGAATGAGCATCTCAACAGAGGGAGCCATTCCCTCCGACGGCCGGCTGGTCGGTTGAGGAGGCGGTGCAATAGTGTCGGCGGGTTCTTTTACTTTCCTGGTCGATTTCACCGATGGTTTTGCTGCTGGTGATTTCGTGCTCATCTCAGAGGTATCTGCGGTGGCAGCGGTGGCAATGGCGCCAACGCTCCCCTCCGAGGAACCCATGCCTCCGTTCACTTTCGTTTCGTTGCCACAAATCTTCTTGGCACCTCGATGGCCGCCGTCATCCTTGCTTGTGGCGCGTTTGTTGTCCTCCTTGATGCTTGATTCTCGGCGAGCCTTCTTCGCTCCCCTTTGGTCGGCGGTCATGCCGGTCATTTTCCGCTCCTCCTGCCCCTTCTTCTGCTTCTTCCTCTTGCCCTCGGTACGTGCCGCAGGGGTGACCCTTTTCTCTTCGTGGTTGTTCACAGCTGGCGCTTCGCTGAAAAGGTCGACCATCGAGCCCTT